GTTAAGCGTCTGCCTTCAGCTCAGGTCATGATCCCAGGGTCCTGGGATCGAGCCCCGCATCGGGCTCCCTGCTCCGCAGGAAGCCTGCTTCTCCCTCTCCCACTCCCCCTGCTTGTGTTCCTTCTCGCTGTGTCTCTGTCAAATAAATAAAATCTTTAAAAGAAAAAAAGAAAGAAAAGCAACGTTGATGGGTGCCTGGGTGACTTGAACGGTTAAGCAACTGACTCTTGATTTTGACTCACGTCAAAATGGCTTAGGTCATGATCTCAGGGTCATGAGATCGAGCCCTGAGCCCCACATTGGGCTCCATGCAGGGTGTGGAGCCTGCTTAAGATTCCCTCTCTCCTTCCCTCTGCCTCTCCCACCGCTCCCCTCTCCCCATCTCTTAAAAAAAAAAAAAAGAGAAAGAAAAGTTGACTTAATGTTCAGTTATTTACATGAGTTGATACAATTTATGTAATCAACGTTTCACAAACATTTCACAAACGTTTCAATCCTGGGGTGCCTGGGTGGCTCAGTCATTAAGCGTCTGCCTTCGGCTCAGGTCATGATCCCGGGGTCCTGGGATCGAGCCCCGCATTGGGCTCTCTGCTCAGCGGGAAGCCTACTTCTCCCTCTCCCACTCCCCCTGCTTCTGTTCCCTCTCTCACTGTGTCTCTTTCTGTCAAATAAATAAATAAAATCTTAAAAAAAAAAAAAGTTTAAATCCACTCTGTAAGATTTAAAGCAACTGTCATAGAAAGGGGAAACCAACAGGATAGTCAGTATTGGGATAGTTTCTCCCTCCCTAAGTATCCTTGGCTCTAGAAAGGAATGAATTAGTACCGTGTAGGGAGGGAAATGGTGTTGGTTCTGAGAGTTCTCCTTCAGCCATTGGACTAGCCAGCAGGGAATTGTCTGTCTTCTGTTCCTAAATAAGAGCCTTACTGTGTTTGATAAAGGAAAGAGGCATTTGTTGGCGGGACTCTGGGGATTTTACTTGAGAGGTGCCAGCCGAGCCCCTCCTTGTCCTTTCAGCAGTTGCATTACTCTTCACTGCTTTCTGCGTCTGTCTTCCCACCACCATGCTCAGGTTCAGTGATTTGCTAAGACAGCCCTCTCAGAAAAGCTCTCCTACTTGGGGTTGCTGTTGGTCACAGTGAAAGGATAAAGTCAGGAAAAAGGTGCCCAGGGGAGACTCGACATGAGCTGCCAGTGTCCTCTCCTGTGCAGTCCTGTGGACGGAGCTTACATCTCCCATGGATGACATGTGACAGCATCCACAGAGTATTGCCACCCACAGAAGGTCACTGTGCTTGGTTTCCAGGGATTTTATTGGGGATTGGTTACATGGCCATGGATTGGAGCTGCCTGCATGGTTGACCTCAGTTACTCGGTCTGCAGGCCCTCCAGAGGTCAAGTGGATAGCTCGGTCCTCGCTGTAAGTCATATGGTTAGCATAATGTCTGGCACGGCCCGAGTCTCCCAGGTGACCACAAGGACACTCTCACCACATAGGATATTCCAGGGGCTTAGAGCTCTCCCAGAAGCTGGTCAGGGGCCCAGCCCTCGTCCGGAATGTGCCGAGTTTGAGCAACCTGGACTTGCTGAGTTAAGCCGTTATTGCAAAGCACACTGGTTTACTTGGCTCAGTGATTTGTTTCTCACTTGGTTCAAGTTAGAACTTGTGATGTCTGCCATCTAGGAACATGTGATTTGAGACAAGGATCTAGTAGGGCTTCTGTTTTGATTAACGACTAATTGTGTTTATGTGCCTTTTCTTACAAGTTGTTCACATGCTTTATGGGAGTAGGTGGGGTACGTATGTGTGTATATGTATATACATGTATAGTAACGCATGTGTGTGTATACATACGTACTAAGTCAGTGCTCATAATACTGGTAGTCAACAGGCAACTCAAAAATATTTCCTTATTCCTTTGTGCATTCTTTGAGCAGAAATGTGTTGAGCACCTGCTAAGGGCCAGAGACTGTGCCAGGTACCGGAGACATAAGGATGAATGAGACGTGCTCCTTACAGAGCTCAAAGACCAGCAGCGAGGGGCGCCTGGGTGGCTCAGATGGTTAAGTGTCTGCCTTCAGCTCAGGTCATGATCCCGGGGTCCTGGGATCGAGTCCCGCATCGGGCTCTCTGCTCCTTGGGAGCCTGCTTCTCCCTCTGCCTCTCTTTCTCTGTCTCTCATGAATAAATAAATAAATAAAATCTTTAAAAAAAAAAAGACCAGCAGCGAGAATAGAAGTCACAGAAGTGATTCTAATGAGCTCCCACACATCAGGCCTCTTGTGGATCAGACGCCAGCAGGCACTCTAATGACCTCAGCCACCCCCGAGGCTAGATGCTTGCTTCCCTGTCACAGATTAACAGCCAGGGAGATACCGTCCCCTGCTGATGGGCTCCCATCCGGCACCCAGCAGAGTAGGAATGTTACCACGTCTCTTTTTTCCAGAGCACCATATTTCTGCAGTGATTCCTGCAGGTTCTTCAGAATGAATGAACATGTCTTGTGCTCTCTGGTGAGATTTGAAAACTGCCTCCCATAATAACCCATGTTGCTTGCTCAGGAGGAGCCGGGCAGGGCAGTAGCAGGCCCTCAGGAAGTGCGGCTTCTACGGAGTTGTTGCGGCGCAACTTTCTCAGCCCTCTTCTGGGCCAGGTGCATCTTCTCAGACCCCTGTCTTCTCCTCAGTGCCCGGAGGTGCGGCTGAACATCATCTCCAACCTGGACTGCGTGAATGAGGTGATCGGGATCCGGCAGCTCTCCCAGTCCCTGCTGCCCGCCATTGTGGAGCTGGCTGAAGACGCCAAGTGGCGAGTGCGGCTGGCCATCATTGAGTACATGCCCCTGCTGGCTGGACAGCTGGTGAGTGAGGTGGCTTGGGGTCAGGCCTTGTCGTGGGCAGTGTGTCCAGGGCTATGACAGTGTCACTGGGGCCTGTACGGGCTGTCTGGGGAGTAGGAGGAAGGGGCACGGGGAATGGGGCTATAAAGGTGAGTAGACTTCAGTTAGAAAAGAGAAGGGAGAGGAGCCCCCCAGATGAAGCTGAGAAATACCCGATGTGTTTGGGTGGGGGTGTTTCCCTGGGGTATCGCTGGAAACTACCCAGTCTCCCTTGATTTCCTTAACCTTTTTTTCTTCTGAAGGGGGTGGAGTTCTTTGATGAGAAGCTCAACTCCTTGTGCATGGCCTGGCTTGTGGATCATGGTGAGTCTCTCCAGTAGGATGGGGGAGGGTGCTGGTGCTCCAGGAAGGATAGATGGGCATTGGCTGGGACCGGGAGGGGTGTGGAGTCACTCTCCCAGGCCAGCTGCTTATGTGGACCAACTCCTTGGCTTTTTAGAATCCTAGAGAAATGCAAGATGGGAGGGGGATAGAGCAGATCACGTAGGGGTGGCCTGGTACAGTAGAGAGAGAGAGTATGAGGGCCACCGGGCAGATGACCTGGGCTGGAATCCTGCCCCCTGGCTGTGGAAGCTCAAGCACACGCCTTTGTGAAAGAGGGGGCTTCTCAGTCTTTCGGGGCTGTTGTGAGAACTGCTCATTGTTTTCACTGACGGGTAAAAATTGAAGTTAACAATTGTCTGTATCGTGACTGTTCCAAATACTAATTACTGAATGATTTGCTTGGGCACATCACTTCTTAGAGCTGTAGTTTGCCCGTTTATAAAAGGCCAATAGTGAAACCTGTGTCTTGGAGCCATTGGGAAGATAACCCTACCTTTAGCACATAGCAAACTGTTCGGTTCACCTGCAGCTTAGTACCTAGGTATGCGAGTGCCTGTCACTCCCTGCCTGCTCACTCCTCCACCTCCTGAACCCCTGCCCTTCTGCAGTCTATGCCATCCGTGAGGCGGCCACCAGCAACCTGAAGAAGTTGGTGGAGAAATTTGGGAAGGAGTGGGCCCATGCCACTATCATCCCCAAGGTCTTGGCCATGTCTGGGGACCCCAACTACCTGCACCGTATGACTACGCTCTTCTGCATCAATGTGAGCGCCCCCACCTGCCCGCTGGCCTGTGCCCAGGGAACTGGGAGTACCTGGGAGAGGAGGGATGGCGGGCATCCTAAGGAAGACGTCTGGCTTGGGAGTGGGGACATGGTGAGGTTTGGGGGGGCAGGGATGAGTCCCCGAGGAACTACAGGCCAGGGGGTGGGGACCTGCATGGTGGGAACCCCAAGACTAGGGAGGCTTGGCCTGCTGAGCAGTGACTGCCAAACCTTTCCAAGCATCCCTCTCCTCCACAAAGTGTATACGTATACTTGTTTATGATCATTGGTTTTGTGTGCACGCTCTGGAGTCAGACCTCCTCTTTAACTCTAGCTCTGCCATATATTAGTCATGGACCTTGGGACATTTCCTAACTGCTCGGGTGCTTTAGTTTTCTTACTAGTAGAGCACTCGTGCTGGTAATCACAGTACTCATGAGGTGGTGAAGATTAATCTGGCCGTACGTGCAAAGGGTTTAGAGCAGTTAATGTAATATGCAGCAAGGGTTCCTTTCTATTCATTTAAATAAACCATACACATAACTAAAAATTAAAAGATAGAATTTAAAAACATATAGGTAGAACTGAGTGTTCTCTGATGATTTCTTCCCACATCTCACCTTGGAGACCATCACACTAAAGGAAGGCATGCCAAGGGTTAGGAATCAAGCCCATCCCCAGAAGATAAAGAGAATTCTGAGGATGGGGAAATGGGACCAGGACAGTCTGGGCTGGGGGTTTCCAGGACAAGGAGACAGTGGTATTTGGCATTAGTGGAGATGGTAGTTTCAGGAGAAGCAGCTGACTCCAGGGTGGGCGAACCTGGGCTCAGAATCCCCCATATTGCCCAGTGTCACCCTCAGGCCTGTTCATCCCTGAGGTGGCCTGGTCAGAGGAAGGGGGAAATGGGAGTTAGCCATGAACTTTGTATAATCACCCCTCTGTTGCTCACCGCCCCCAGGTGCTGTCTGAGGTCTGTGGGCAGGACATCACCACCAAGCACATGCTGCCTACAGTCCTGCGTATGGCTGGGGACCCTGTCGCCAACGTCCGCTTCAATGTGGCCAAGTCCCTACAGAAGATAGGGCCTATCCTGGACAACAGGTGAGGCTTGGATCCTCCCTCACACGCTGGTGGGACTGGTTCTAGGCATCCTAATCTTTGACCTTTGAAGTTGGAGCCTAGGGTTTGAGACCCAGTGTATGTCTTCGCTTACTGTGTAAACTTGGCTTATCTCTTCACCTTCCCAAGGTCGTAGTTTCCTCAAGTGTGGAATGAGAATTCCCATGGCCTATCTCATAGTGGGAGGAGACAGTGGGGTGGCAGTTCTATATACTAGTAGCAACATGTTAGAAAATGAAATTAGCAAATATAAATTATTTTTGTATATGTATGCAATTTGTTGCACCGAAATCATCAAATACCAGGGAATAAATTTAATGAGAGGTGTATCACATCTTTAGTGAAAACTATGAAACACTGCTTTGAGAAATTAAAGATCTGCTTAATATTCATGCATGGGATGGTTCCCCAAATATATGTATGGATTCATTATAATCTCAGTCAGTCTTAGCAGATCCTTTACTGAAAATTTGACAAGTTGATTCTGAAGTTAACATGGAAATGAAAAAATCTGGAGTAGCAAAGGTGGTCCTAAAAAAGAAAAAAGTTGGAAGACTTCAACTACCAGATCCAAGACTTAGGACGCCACAGTAATTAAGAAGTGAGGTGTTGGCACAATGATACAGCCCAAAGAAACAGAGTCAAGGGCACAGAAACAGACCCGTGTGTATATAACAGTAGGTACCACTGCAGTTCAGGAGGGAGATGTAGGTATTTTCATACATGACTGGGTCAATTGGATATGCATGTGGGGGTGGGGGGAACCTCCCACTTGGGTACGTAAGCAAATTAGAGTTAACAGACCAGAATCAGAAAAATAAGTAAAGATTCTGGAAGAAAACAGGACAACATCTTTAAGACTTGCAAAGATTTGTTTAAATTGCTCAGATTTGTTAAATAGCTCTCCATGGGAAAAGGCTGATGAGCTCACCTTGAGTAAAAGAACTTCATTGAGGGAGAACATTATGAGAGTAAAATGGTGAGCCACTGATGGGGGGAGGACGTATTTGTAATACATTTTTCTGACAAAGGACTGATTCATCCAGAGTACTTTCCTACTAGTCAATTAGACAAATGCAAGAGATAGGCAAAACCCAACTTGAACAGGTACTTGCAAAAGAAGATCTCCTCGTAGCCAGTATGTACATGACAAGGTGCTCAGCATCATCAGTCATTGGGAAATTGTAAATGAAAAGACACCCCAGGGGGCGCCTGGGTGGCTCAGTCGGTTAAGCCTCTGCCTTCTGCTCAGGTCATGATGCTGGGGTCTTGGGATCGAGCCCCTCAGCAGGGAGCCTGCTTCTCCCTTTCCCAATCCCCCACTTGTGCACTCCCTCGCTTGCTCTCTGTCAAATAAATAAAATCTTTAGAAGAGAAAAGGACACCCCAGAATGGCTAACCTTAAAAAAACTCAGGGTCATTTGGTGTTGGTAGAATGGCTGGAATTCTCATACACAGCAGATGGGGCTGTAAGTGGTAAATGGGTACAGTCACTGAAAACTGGTAGAATCTAGCGAAGCTAAGAATGTGTTCACTGTGAGCCGGCACAACATGTCCATTTCTGGGCATATATCCAAGAGAAGTGAGTGCTTATTTCTAGCAAAAGGATGTTTGTGGTAGCTTTCTTCATATTAGCCATGAACTGGAAACAGCCCAAGTGCCTGTCCACAGTACAGTGGATAAGCTGTGGTTTGTTCCTACAATTGGAGACTGTTCAGTGATGAAGACTCTTGCTCTGCTTAACAACACAGATGATTCTCACCAACCTCATGTTCAGTGAGAAGCCAGACCCAAGAAAACATAGTCTGTGATTCCATTTATATCAAGTTCAAAAATAGGCAAAACGGATCTAGATGGTAGAGGTAAGAATGGTAGTTGTATGGGGCAGAGGAACAGTTTGTTAACTGAAGGGGACATGCCTTCATTTCTCCCAAACACCTGACTTTCAGTGCAGGTAGATTTCCTAGAGCCCCTTACTTGAGAGTAGATACCTCCCCTTGGCTTCCATTGGGCCAGGTACTTCTTTGGCACTTGACACTTCTCTGTTACTTACGGTCATTTTGGTCTGTGTCTTCCTTCTAGCCCAAGCTCTCCATGGGCAAGAATCAGGTGTTGGATTTACCACTCTACTCAACCTAATGCAGAGTAGGCCTCAGTAAATACTTTAAATAAAGACATCCATTTGCTGAGCCTCAGAGACCTGTGGGTCCTGTTATTCTGTGCCCCACTTTCCCAGACTGTCTGACCTCCCTTTGCCTATTCTGGATCACTGAGACCTCTGTTCTAGTTTGTTAGACTTCCAGCCTACAAAGTAATTTCATCTCTGGGCTCACATGCCGTCTGTGTGTGTGAACCCCTCCTTGCCCAGGAGCCCTCTGCCTGCCTTGTGCCCTCCTGCCCAGCTTGGCTCACCCCTTTCCTTGCCTTCCCTTTGTCCTTCCAGCACGCTGCAGAGCGAAGTCAAGCCCATCCTAGAGAAGCTGACCCAGGATCAGGATGTGGATGTCAAATACTTTGCCCAGGAAGCTCTGACTGGTAAGGCGTGAGCTCGGAGACCCCACTGGGAGGGTGGTCTGCAAGGATGGGCCTAGGCCTGAGGACAGCAGCTCCTGGGAGGGGGATATGCAGGAGCACTTGTGGGCAGAGGGCTAGCTGTGGTTCTGACTCCCTCCTGTTCCTGTTCCCCCAGTTCTGTCTCTCGCCTGATGCTGGAAGAGGAGCCAACGCCGGCCTCTGGTGTCCACCCTCCCCCCCCAGGTCCCTTCCTTGGGGAGACAGTGGGGGGACTTTGGCTGTCACTCCCTGTGCATGGTCTGACCCCAGGCCCCTTCCCTCAGCACGGTTCTTCCTCTCCCCAGCCTGGGAATCTGACTTCTCACTGCCCACCTCCCAAGAGGCTTGGGGGAGCCCAGGTGGGACAGGGCAGTGACCCTGGGAGGAAGGGGCCACTTCTGCCCGCAGGGGAGAGATGTGAGCGTCCCAGGTCACTGGCTCCTGCTGCTGTAATGGGGACCCCCTACCCCATCTACTTCTCCACCTCCTTTCTCCCTTCTTCCTTTCCTTTACCCACCCCCCAGTGGTTTTTTTTTTGTGTGTCAACTGTGCCGTTTTTATTTTATTCCTGTTTTCCCTTTTCACAGAGAAATAAAGGTCTAGAAATAGCTGGTCCTCTGGTTTTAGTCAATAGCATGGAGGAGGGGTGCCACACCAGGAGTGTAGCTGGCCTCCAGGATAGAGAGTCCATGAGGTTTCTGGCTAGGAGAGTCCGGTGATGCAGCTAGTTTCACAGACATTAGTCAATATGTGGTGGTTCAGAGCAGGTGCCTTGGAGTCAGACTGCCTGGGTCCAGAGCCTAGTTCTTTTAATTAATGGCTGTGTGACCTTTAGTAGGTTACCCAGTTTCTCTAACTCAGTTTTGTACTTTTAAAATGAGAATAATGATAGAATCTAAATCGCAGCGTGAGACTAAATGAGTTAATACATGTAAAGTGGATAACTGTGCTGCATGGCATGTGAGAAGCAGTCAGTTGGAGTCAGCTATAAGTTGCTGGAGAGCCCCCTGTGGGTCAGGCTCTGTCCCTGAGGAAGTCCCAGGAAAATCAGGGCTGTAACGGAATGGGAAGGGGACTGGCAAGATGGGAACCCATTTCCCTCAATATCTGTGCTCCCATTTCTTCACTAATTAATAGAGACACTGATTTGTAGCAGGGCACATGTGTGCCTGGCTTCAAGGCATTTTTCCAGGTCTCTGGACATTCAGTGTGGTGCTATGACTAAATTCTGGCCAATAACATGTGAACAGAAGTGGTGTGTGCTGCCTCTAGGAAGTGTTCCTAAGGGAGGAGGTATATGCCCCCTGCGTTTTCTCCTTCCTGCACTCTGGACTGTAGACCAGATGGCTGGAGTGGGAGCAACCGTCTTGGGCCAGGAAGTGATCTTAGGAGCATAGGCCCAGCAAGGTGGCAGAACAAGATAAGAGGAGCCTGGCTCCCTGGTGCTGTGAAAGCCCACACCAATATTGGTTACCTGGGAGAGTTAAACTGTTTGAGTGACTGTTCATTTGGGGTTTCATCACTTGCAGGTCACCCGAATTCTAACTGATGCAGGGGCCAAAGAGCCCCGGAGAGAGGAGCAGGAGACTTAGTGGATGGTGGTACGTGTAAGGTTTCACAAAGGACGTGATACTGAGGGAAATTTTGCTCAACAGGGTGGAGGGGAAATTGGCACTGGGTGGCAAAGTGATATTACTGGCTCAGCCCTCATGTTACTGAATCCTTACTGATTGTTAGGCCCAGCTGTCCTGGGGGATGAGGGGTAGGAGATCCTGTTCCTCCCATTATTTGCTTATGTTAGTTTCATAAGAGAAGGACCTGTGGTTTAAGTTTGGTCCCCCACCCTACACCCAACACAAATGTACAGTACTTTCCTAGGATATAAATACTTGAAGGACTCACTGAGTGAAGAATTCTTCACTGAGTGAAGAATTGATGAGTTTGGGAGGTGGGGCAGTGTGGTCACTTTCAGCCTGATGAATGAAAGTTCAGTTGGCAATCCACCACTAATTCCTAAAAGGACATTCAAATGAATGCTCCATCGTGTTTCATTTATATTTTACTGGATAACAACCCACCCCCAAAAATTAGTGATTTAAAACAATGAAAATGTATTATTCCTCATAATTCTGCAGTCTGAGCTCAGCTCAGTTGGAAGATTCCTCTGCTCCATACGGTATCTACTGGGGCTGGAATGTTCAAGACAACTTCTTCACCCCCATGTCTGGGAGTACCACCTCAGCTGAGGCCTGGTACACCATCTCTCACTGTGGCCTCTCCAGGGTGGCTGGATCTCTTTATCTGATGGCTTATGGTTCCAGAGCCGTTTCCAAGAGAACAAGTCCCAGTTTACAAGTGCTTTCAAACCTCTGCTTGCATCACAAGCTGAAACAAGTCACGTGGCCAAGTCCAGAGTCAGTGCAGGAGGTGACCTCGCAAGATGTGGAAACCTAGAGGTGTGGTTCACTGGGGGATGCCAGTGTGACAGTCGGCCACACATGGTCCAGAGAGAAACTTTGGGCTCCATCTTTGCTCTGCTACAGGCAGGTGGAGGCATCAACAGCATAAGGAGACAAGGCCGATTACAGAGTATATCGAGCGTTTGGAGCAAGCTGAAGATTTAAACTTTATCCTGGAAGCCAGAGCAGCCACACGGGTTTTTGGTAAAGGACTGACAGTATCAGAATTGAAGGGGGAGACCTGAAGCCAGGAAACCTGGGAGGATATGGTCTAAGCAAGAGAGGAGTTTTGAGCTGGAGGCAGGTACCATGCAGTTGGGGAGGTTGTAGGTAAAAAGGGAAACAAAGCTTCCCAAGGAGACAGATTGGGACTTGGTGACACTTGGATAGGGGAGTAAAGGGAAGGATGCAGTCATCTTGGCAACCAGGATTCAAGGCTTCTGAGGTTCACCTGGGAAAGGAGGGTTCCTGCAAACCCACATGTACTTCAGCATCTCCAGCCTTTGAACCTCTACCTGGAAAGCTTTCCCTCCTCGCTTCTTGGGAAACAGAAGTAATTCAGTACGGAGAGTGGGGAAAGAGGTGGAGTGGCATAGGGGAGCATGGATAAGTGTGTAGGGGCCAGATCTTGATGAGCCTCCAAATACCGGGAAGGGATTGAATGTGACCCAGAGGGACCAGATGGAGTAAGACTTGGCCGGGGGTGGGGGGGCGGGGGATCTTTCCAGGGTCAGATGAGGTCAGGGTGCCGCGGAGGAGGCTGGGATGATGGTCCTGGGGGCAAGGGAAGGAAGCTGGGTCTGGGGCTGAGGAGAGTATGCAGAGACATTGAGGAGGTGGCTTTGAGGCCACTTCTGCTTTTCAAACCCACAGGAAGTTACAAGAGAAGCAGCTGGAAGGAAGGTCCTGTTGCTCTTCTGTTCTCAGATTAATCAAAACATGAAGTCTCAACACATGCCCTGTCATCAGCCCTCCTGTCTCGAGGAAATCCCCACTCAAGCCACTCCCTTTAGTTCTTCCCTGTCCAGCTATGTTTTTCAGATGAGGACACAGACCCAGAGTGTTTTGGGTGTCTGATGTGGGCTCTTACGGACTTACCAGATCAGAACTCAACAAATCTCTCCCAGAAGAAAAAAATGCCTTAATTTCCTCTGGTAGCTTAAGATCCTTTTAGGGGCCAGCCAAGGACGGAAGCTGGCCCTACAAGCTAGATGAGAAGAAGCAGGGCATGGCTGGCCCTATAGGAAATTGGAGTCCTAATCTCTTAACCATGATGCAAAATGTAGAAATCCATGGTAGGCTTTTTAATGAGTTGTTTGGGGCAAAACCTGATCTGAGCTACTATAGTAGCAAAACCCCAACTTAGACTTTAGAGTTTTTATCCCTCTTGCATGGAATACACATCACAGCCAGAAATAGTGTCTTGGGAATATATGGAATGTATTCAATTAGTAATCAAAAGACTGTCCACAAAAGTCTGGGCCCAGATGGCTTCAGTGAATTCTACCAAAACATTTAAAGGATTAATACCAATTTTTCACAAACTTTTTCAGAAGTAGAAGAGGAGAGAACACTTCCCAACTCATTCTGAGGCCAGCATTAGTGTAATATACCCTATCAATAAAAGACAACATGATCATCTCCATTGATGCTAAAAAAAAAAAGCATTTAACAAAATCCACACTTTCACGATAAAAACATTCAATAAACTAGAAATAGGAATTTCCATAACCTGGTAAAAGGTATCTACAAAAACCCACACATAACATAATAATGGTAAAAGATTGGGTTCTTACCATATAAGATAAGCGAGACAAAAATACCCACTCCTGCCACTTCTTTTCAACATTGTAGTAGTAGTAGTTCAGGGTAATTAGGCAAGAAAAATAAAAGAAAAGGCATGCAGATTGGAAAGGAAGAAGTAGAACTGTATTTGCAGATGACATGATCATGTATATAGGAAATCCTAAGGAATCCACTAAAAAAAAAAAAAACAGTAAACAAGTTCAGTAAGATTGCAGGACACAAATATACAAAAATAATTTGTATGTCTGTACATTGGCAGATAATGTTGGTAAGGAAGTGGAGATACTGGAATCCTCATACACTGCCAGTGGGAATGGAAAATGGTGCAATCACTTTGGAAAGCAATGTGGCAGTTCCACTGAGTTACCATTTTGCCCACCTATTGTACTTCTAGGTATATACCCAAGAGAATTGAAAACCTATGTCCCCATGAGAACTTATACACAAATACTGATAACAGCATTCTTCACAATAGCCAAAATGTGGAAACCACCCAAATGTCCATCAACTGATGAAATGTGGTGTATCCATATAATGGGTATTAGCCATAAAAATGAATGAAGGATTAGGGTGCCTGGGTGGCTCAGTCAGTTGAGTGTCTGGCTCTTGATTTTGATTCAGATCATGATCTTGGGGTCATGAGATAGAGCCCTGTGTAGGGCTCCCCGCTTAGCAGGGAGCCTGCTTGAGATTCTTTCCCTCTGCTCCTCCTCCTGTTCACGCTCTCTCAAAATAAATCATTTAAAAAAAGTGAAGTATTGATACATGCTACAACATGGATGGATCTTGGAAACATCTCATGAAAGTAGCCAGACACAAAAGGCCAAGTATTATTGTAGGATTCTGTTTTACTTGTACCTTAGGTATCATATCTAAGAAATCATTGCCAAATCTAATGTCATGAAGGTTTTGACCAATGTTTTATTCTAAGAGTTTTAGGTCTTTGATGCATTTTGAGTTAATTTTTGTATATGGTGTTAGGTAGGAATCCAACTTCATTTTTTTGGCCTGTGGATATTCAGTTATCCTAGTACCATTTCTTGAATAGCCTTGGCACTCTTAAAAATCATTTGACCATAAAGGCAAGTACCACACTACTTTGATTACAGGAGCTTTGTTTTGAAATCAGGAAAGTGAGTTCAGTACAGTAGCTTTGTTCTTTTTCAAGATTGTTTTGGTTATTGAGGGTCCCTTAAGATTCCATATGAAGATTAGGATGGGTTTTTCTATTTCTGCAAAAGACATCATTGGGGTTTTGATAGGGATTGCATTAAATCTGTAGATTGCTTTGGGTAGTAGTGACATTTTAGCAATAGTCTTCCCATCCATGAACATGGGATGCATTT